TTCAGTATGTAAGAGAAGAAAGCCTTCAAACTTCTGCCAATGTTGGGGAAAAAGAGTCATTCAGCTGGTGGAGTGAGCTGGTGGCCCAGGAATCCTACTGCTTCTTGTTCCGACTTTTCAATCAGTTCACCCATATTTAGCTCCACCAATACATTCACTTTCTGGGATACCTGAGGAATCCAGTTACTAAGACTCTCTTGGATTCTGCAGCCCAAATTATTTTAGTTCTGGGCTTCCTTCACGGGCAGTTTTGTTTCACTTTTCTCTGGTCTGCTAGTCAGTTCTACTTGTCCATCTGCTTTCTTGTTTCCAAATTTATGTTGCTTTCATCTCCTTTGCTGTTCTCTATATCTGTGAGTTTTTTTATCTTAAACTCTTTTAATCCCATTTTAGTGAGGTTTCAGGAGGAGTGAGTCAAGATTAACATCAAGTTCTGTCTTCTCTGTTCAACGTCATTTTGCCTAGCTTGAGTTTTATTCTTACGTAGAACTACCTTTCTCTCTCTCTGATTTCAGAGCCCTTTCAACCTTAGACATGTCTTTTTAGCACAGAAAATATTTCTCCTGTTATATCACTGATTACAGTGTATGTTCTGTGTTTTCAAGCCATTTTCTTTGAGATCTATCTCTGAGATTACCTTCCCTGTGAACCAAATCTGACTGACCTTCCCCAACAGAGCCAATCTGTACAATCTCTATATTTCCATAGCACTTTAAATAATCCTGTGTTATAGCACTCATCACAGTGTTTTGCCAAATAATTTTTGTTTTATATTTCTCCCCTGACTGTAAATCCCTTGAGGCACATTTTATGCAGTCAATATATGTAATGGAATGAACAAGTGAAACAGGGTGTGGTTTAGAGAGATTACTGAGTAGGTGAAGAAGCACAAAGAAGAAATGAAGAAAAAAATTTGTAAAAATGGGAAAGTTTGTCACAGTAAATTGAAGACTTTTTAAGTCACAATCTAAGGTTTATTGAGAAGTAGGGCAGGACGTGGCATGGAAAGGGTTCAGGAGCATTTATCAGAGGTGAATGAGGGAAAGGCTTTTACTGAGTAAAAGGAACATGTGCATTGCATTGTGGGGGAAAAACCAGTAAATGACCTTAGATGGGAAAACAGTCCTGTAAACAGAATACCAATGAATTCTTCTTTGATTCACTCCATTCTAAACTGAGCCTCAAAAATTCTTCCTGCTGTTTACTGTCTCTTTTAGGAGCTATGATTTAACATGAGACCTGGTGGTATGGGCAGCATTGAATGAAGCTGTCTGATACTGAGCACGACTGAGGATGGATGGACAGGGATTTCCTGTATTTCTATATTGATAAAGTAATTTGGTGTCTGCAATTCTATATAATATGTTGGGTGATGGTTAGAGCAGGGGGTTTAAATGAGATATTCTCTAGGATTCCAACCTTGGTTCATAGCGACGGCAGTGATAACAAAAAAAAAGCTTATTAGCAATTACCTACCAGATTTAAAAGTTTAGTGCTTGTACTTGAAGTATAGGAGAGGATGATTCTATATAAAATTTCCATGAAAAAAACATTTTTGGCCTATATCATATGAATTGACTGTATTGGTTGGCCCAAATTTCCTTGAGCAAAGCAGATTTGGCCTTGATCTGTTAGTCAACATCTCTTGACCTTTTTAGTACCAATGGGCCTCTTTGCCATCTGGTGGAATTTAAATGAATAAAATAAGATACACTGAATTACAAAGAGAACATTATATTTATATACAGTTATCAAAGTATTAAATTCATGGCATCAATGTATATGTACTTTATTAACACATGAAATTATAAAACAATGCATTTAAAATATAGCTAAGTTAAATTTTTATTTATTAAAGACAGTATTAGTATAAAGGCTTTTGTTGCTTAGCTTAAATGAGGACATTAAACTCTGGTGTAGTACCTGATTCATCTCTTTCAGTGATTGGCCAATAATTATAGATAGGGAATACTGAAAAGCAACATGGATCTGGGTCTCCTATGTGAAAACATGTGGCTTTCATGGGAAAACATTTGGAAAATATGGTGGCTGATTTACTGTGAACTGCAGAGTTGCTCAATAGTTAGTCATCCATGTTTCATGCTGAGCATCTGTGAGCAGGAAGACAGTCATCACATGCAATTCTAGTAACAAGTTAGCTACTACCATAGTTTTGAAGTAGTGATAAATGTAAATGATATTTTTAGGTATCTGTAGTAAATATAATGTGATATAAAATATTTGTGATTTTTATTGGTAACAAAGTTGCAGATGCAGCTAATGTTGCTGTGATGTGTTGCCTGTATTTATACTTGAGGGAAATGTCAAGATAGAGTCTAGTGAAAAAGAAAAGATAATTTTTTTCTCCCATCCATGATTACAAACTTCTCAAATTCTACCCTTGGACCCCAGGTTGAGCATGTTTGTCTTAGATTCTTTATTCTAGTCTCACTCATGACCCTCTACCATATTAGTCATGAATTTTTAGACAATAACATTGGAACCGGTCTCAGTTCCTTCTCTGCTATACTGCTTTAGATTAATCGGTATTGAAGAAGGTGTTTTTGGCAAAGATGTTTGATTCTAGATGGTGAAATCTGAGAAGAGTGAACTAGGCCAGAAACCATGGAGTCTGGTTGTTTTCAGATCTAAAAAGTGACTTGCTGTAAGAATAAATTTGCCCTGCTTTTCTTCAGGACTTGAGAAAGGTTGAGCCCATTTTTGTTTCTATGTTGAACCTTTTTCTTTGTCAACCACAAGGAAAGATCTGAATCAGAGACACGTGGTATGATGTCTGGCCCCCAGAGGTATAGTTAGCCCAACAGAGTTAGCCTGCAAAGCATACTCTGAATTTATGGTTTTAATCAAAGCAACTAGTCTGGATTTGTTTAGTTTCTTTTTTCGTGTTAATGGAGATAGTGTGTAGGGAAAAAAGAAACTTTATTTCTGCTGTAGGCTTAGATCCAGCCAGAAAGCCATAGTGAACCCTAATCCTGTAATCTATGTTGAGTTTTCTAAACATATACATTTCAGATATGTATAATTGAGATATATATAGTAACAATCATTTTAATGGAAAGTAGCTTTACAACGTTTGGTCTAGTGTTTCTTCCAAATATTATGACTTTGAGGCCATCCTTATAATTTAAAATTGAACACATTGTTCAAAAGTTGAACATGTTGTACCTAATTCTCTATGTGCAGTGTTTTTTGAGGTTTGGAAAAATAGTGAAGACTTTCATTTTGTGTGAGATTCTCAAATGAGAACAAGGAATAGGGACTTAGTTTGCGTTTGAAAGCCCTTGGATTCCACATTTGTTACGCAGTAACTCCCCATGATCAGTACAAAATGGGTACTAGAAAAACCCTACTTTTAAGAGGAGTCCATTTTAAATAGTGACAAAGTTTTTAAGATAAATAGTGAAAAAAGATTTAATTAGGGCGTAAGCTTGAAAAAGAAATAAAATCATTAAAACTATTTTATTTCACATTACAAAATTTAGCTTATTACTATGCATTGATTTAAAACAAGGAATGGATCAAGTACTGGTATTTTGGCATACATTTTCTGACAAATATTATGTTGGTAGGATATGACATATTTCTCTTCACGTTTTTTATTTCTTTTCTTAGTGCGATCATATAGAGTCATTTTTTGGCAAACATTTTCAAAGGTTTTACCACTTTTCCCAACAGGCTTGCTTCATATTTTATATTCAAGTTATTCTCTTTGAGGTGACTATCTATCCTTTTTCATTTTGCAAGACCTAAATTTCCCTTTTCAATCTGTTTGCTTTGTGTTGTCAAATGTTGAGAAGGCTGAATTGCCGTGTTGGCAGATGTTAGCGTAACATGTGGGAAGAAATGTTGAGTGGTAACTAATTTCATAGGTGTCTAGTTCTTTAGTGAAAAATTTCAGGTTATAACTATTGCTCCCCTATAAAACCTCCTAACTGGAGGGTGGGGAAAAACAATCTCCCAGGTCCCCTTTAAAATATTAATGAAGACAGTAGAAGAAATATGAGGTTATAGTAGCACTAAACCCCAGACATATTGGCCAAAGATCTGGCCTATACCAGGAGGAATTTCTAGTAATCAAATTGTGGAAAGAGCCCTGAGGAAGAATGTGGGATTGAGCTGGTAAATGGTAGCATATTTCTACCCATTCCCACTGTGTCGTTTACCTTGGAGACAGGGAACTTCCACTGACCAGGGGTAAAAGTAAGTAAGACAGTGTCTTTTACATTCTGCCTTCTATATCTGTTTTCTAAAACCACCCAGGGGATTAGTCTTTATCTCCAACTGACTTCCTGTTGTCCATCAAATAGTACTTCTGAATCCATTTGAAGATGAAAATTTGCTCTAATAGACTATAGCAGGCACAGTGGACAACCAGTGGTATTTTCTGAGTAGACATGTGCAGACTGTAATAATAATGATAATATATAACACCACTGCTGTTATTACTAATAGCAATAGTGGCTAACATTTACTGAGCCTGTAGTATGTAGCAGGCACTCACTTAGGAACCTGTCAGATCCTTGCAACAATCCTATGAGGTATGTACTCTTATTATTTCCATTTTACTAATGAGGAAACTGATACATAGAGAGGTTGAGTAACTTACCCATGGTCACATAGCTGAAAAGTGGAAGATCAGAATTTGAATATAGGTATCAGACTACAGGGTCCACGGTGTAAACACTATGTTTTGCTGCCTCCCTGTAGAAAGAAGGAGCAGAAACTGGAATGGTCATGAGAACAGAATACTTTAAGTATGAGGTGCTACACATTCAGATTGCATGGATTAATAAGAATGCTAAAGGCAATGGGGCTTTGAAAGGCTATTGTCACTTTAAAAATGCATGCATAGTATGAAGCCTTAGAGCCACACTGCTTTGGTTCAAGTCCCCGTCCTAACCACTTTGTCTCCCATTGTTTTGGGGGTGGCTTAATAGTCAATATTGAACTACTAACCTTTGTTCTTCTTCTCTTCTTAGAATCTCTACTACCAAGAGGAAAGTCAGCCCTGAGACCCTTTCCACAGGTAAGTGATGTAACATGGTAGAAAAAACTATGTGTTCTAAAAGACTAAGCCTTAGGTGAAGTTAGAAGATCCAGGGTATAGAAAAAATATTTCTGAGAAACATTGAGAAAGAACATGGCTTCTTCTTGTTGTACCAGACAAAAGAAAGATTCCCTAGAGCTGAGAGGAGAGAGGTTATATGCAGGAGAGCTGATGAAAGCAGAGCATCTAGAGGGTCCTGGATAGAAGGCCCCTGCTCCCTATTCTCCAGGTTAACAGTTGGGGAGGTGTCAGACTTTAGAGATTCTTGGGGACAGGATGGCTAGGGTGACTTGGACATTCTTCCCTTGGTATGCAAGAAGATAGAGCCATGCCAGTCTCACAGAGAGTCATATTTCTTGGCATGGCATGAAAGCAGGAGAAAAAAGAAGATTGTTGCATTCTCAGCATGGTATGGAAAAAGCAGAGGGAACTGCAGATCCTGAAGTGGCCATTTAGATAGGAATGAGGACAACTTCTTACTAAGCTGTATGGAGATGACTGAACATCAGTTGGGGTAGTGGATGTCTCAGTGGATATCTGTGTAGAGAGGTGATTCCATCACTAGATCTTCTCTGTTCCCTTCCCCACCAATATCTTGGTACTTTGTAAACTCCCCAGAGCTTAAACACAACTAAACAGAAGAGAAATGTAGCTGCAATTCCAGATTTACAAAATTATACTGCTATCCTGATGAATTTATGTATTCTTATTTATCCAGATGTACCCTATCTAGATGTCCCTAAAGTTTCTGGGTTTTGGTTATTCTTTAGTTAATCCTTCTAGAAAATTATATTGTACCCAAATTGTCCAATTTATCAAGCATTTACATGTACTTACATATTCTTTCCCCACCCCTCCAATTTTAATTAATTAATTTTTAAAGCAGGTAATATGTGTACTTGATAAAAAATTCAAAAGTCATCAGCTAGTATACAATGAAAAATGTCTCCCTCCTCCCCTTGCCCCTCAGTCCTACCACTGCTATCAGTTTTTGTTTCCTGTGACATCATGTGTACATATTCTCATATGTATATATAATCTAAAAACAGACCCACAGTCATATTTTACACACAGCTCTGTACCTTGCCTTATCCATATAACAAGATGTCTTGGATATTATTCCATAGATGTGTTTGACATTCCATTCTAGAGACGCTCCATGATTTGTTTAAGCAGTCTCTACTGATGGGAATTTAGCTTGTTTCCAGATTTTTTTATTATGAGTAGTGCTACAATGAATTGTTTGTGCATACTTCTTTGCACATTATTTGAATATACCTGAATACTAATTCTAGAAGACAATGTAGGAATGACAATTATGTGCACTTAAAATTTTTACATTCCTCAGTGGCTCTCATACAGATTATACCAAGTGAAATTCCCACCTCCATGTATGAGTGCCTGATTCCTCTTATTATCAAACATAAATTTTTTTCTCATCTGATAAATGAAAATTAGTATCTCACTGTAGTTTTTCTTTTTATTAAAAAATTAATTTGTATTTTCTTCTGTTCTTCTTCTACTCCTTTTTCTCTTATCTGTTTATGACCTTTGCTCACTCTTCTTATTGATTTTTTTGTATTCTTTATACATTATATGAAATTAACCCTTTGTAATTTGTATTGTGAATGTTTCAGCTTATTGTTTGTACTTTATGTTGTTTATTTCTTTAGACAACTTAGACTTTTTATTCATATATAGTTGAATTCATCAATCTTTTTTCTATGGTTTTAGTCAGACCTTTCCTACTCAAGAGATTTTCTTTTTAAACCTCATGCTTTCCCTAGTATTTTTTTTTTTTATTTTTATGTTTAAATCTTACTGTTGTAAAGAGAAAAGCAGGCTGTTAATTGCCATCCTGATATTCCATTTATAACTTTTACATTAAATTATGTTCCTGATGAATCGTGTGCAGTGGAATAAGGTTCTGCTTTGTACCTTCAAAGTAATGTTAGAATCGGTTGTTTTATTTAATCGCAAAAATAAATTCTGCAAGAAAGAAAGTCTTAAATATATTTTTTCATTCTTCAAAATAAGCCATCCAGTCTGGTTTACTTAATTGTAACAAGATTGGAGTTGGGAGAAGGTCAGAGGGCGTGCTTAACTATTGTAAACTTAGTGAGCAAATGCAAACTATCACAAGCATGGTTTACAGTTTTGTGTGAACAAAGACAATTCTCTAGGGCCAACATTGTAAAAAATGTAGTTTCCTATAACAAGAATTTATATTCTCAACATTTTACAAATCAACAGTCCTTGAAATTATTAAAAGCAAACCTTTGAATATTATAGGAAAGCTGTCTTACTCTGTAAACTTAGGCAGAAATTCCACTTTAAGATAACATGATACAGAATAAGTATAGCTTTAATTTAAATTTTATGGTAACTGGTATATAAATATTCCCTAAACTCCTTCATTACCTAGCTAAAACAAAGGGTAATGGCTAGCTCAATGCTTTGCATTCTTAAAAGCACTTATGTTAACAACTCCAAGTTTCTCATTAAATAACATTGAAACACATAGCTATCACTACAACTATTATTGTAATCAAGGCTGAATCAAAGACCTTGGGCACAGATTAATGTACTTTAACTGATAACAAATAATGAACTTAAGCTATATGACATTGCAAAAGATGGCACTTTGAATTTAAATTTAACAATTGTTGAAAACTCTTGCAAGAATACTTCCCGTTGTCATGCCTACTAATTTTTAATCATTCTTAAACTTTTTAAAAATTGAATTTTTAATTACACAACAAAATTTGAATACATTCACTTTTGGAGACAGTAAATCCCTTTGCCTCTACTCCTTCACCTGTTTTTCTCTCCTCAAAACCCCAGCTTCAGACTGTTATGAGTTTGGTGCTTATGCTTCTAGAGACTTATTTACTTCTTCACTCAACAGTATGCTTTTCAGATCTATTGAGGTTGAAACCTTTAGATCTTGTTAGTTTCTTTCAACTGTTTCATAGTGTTCCATCAAATACATGCATGCACAATCATATTCCTTTATCAATAGACATGTTCTTTTCTTTCAGTTTTTCATTATTATGAATAAAATTGCAATTAATATGCTTGTAAATGTCTCCTTATGCCTCAATGATGATTTTTTTCTTAGGAGAGAGTCCTCAAGTTGGAATTTTGAGGTTATAGGGTATGAGCATTTTGACTTTTAATAGATACTGTCAAATTCCTCTGAAGTGGCTTGTACTAATTCATGCTTCCATCAGCAGTGTATGAGAATAACTGATATCCCCACAATCTTTTCAACGCTTGTTTTTTTCAAACTTTATAATTATTGCTAATTTGGTGAGTATGAATTAGTATCTTATTATTTTATTTTATTTATTTATTTATTTATTTTGCGGTACGCGGGCCTCTCACTGTTGTGGCCTCTCCCGTTGCGGAGCACAGGCTCCGGACGCGCAGGCTCAGTGGCCATGGCTCACGGGCCCAGCCGCTCTGCGGCATGTGGAATCTTCCCGGACCAGGGCACGAACCCGTGTCCCCTGCATTGGCAGGCAGACTCTCAACCACTGCGCCACCAGGGAAGCCCAGTATCTTATTCGTTTAATTTGCATCGTGATGATTACTGCTGAGTTGATTATCTTTTTTTATGTATATTGGCCATTCAGGTTTCTTTATATGTGAGTTGCCTGTTCATATCCTTTGCCCATTTTACTCTTGGACTCCTTTTCAATCTCAATTTTTAATGTCTTATGGGATTGTTAGAATCCTTTTTTTTTCCAGATATTAATCTCTTTCATATTATTTGTGTTGCAACTCTTTTATCCAGACCTATTGTTTATTATAGTTTTTAAAATGTGTATCTGTTGTCATCTCTGGAAAATTGTCGTCTGTTTCTTCAAATATTGTCTTTGTTATATATCTCTTTTCTCCTTCTCCAATCAAATTAATCTTTGCCCTATTTTCTTTTGTCTCTCTACTTGTATTTCACATTTTCTGTGTGTGTCTTTTTCACTATGCTGCATTTTGGGTGAATTTTTAAGGTTTGTTTTCCTGTTCAGTAATTCTCTCTTTTGCTTTATTCAGTCTGTTGCTAGATATATCTAACTTAATTTTTTAAATTAGATATTATATTTTCATTTTTTTTCATATCTGGTAGGTCACATTTTATAGTTTCTGCTTCCCTTCAGATATTTTCAATCTTGACCTTATTTCTTCAAACGTTGCAAACCTATTTTTTTATATAATCTTTGCCTTATTCCAATATGTGATATTTTCGTGGATCTCTTTTTGCTGGCTGTTTGTGTTTCTGTTCTCACTTGTGGTATCATATTTCTTTGTGGGCTTAGTTATTTTTGACTATGTAATATCAATTGTCCTTGAAATATTATTTGTATGGATTCCCTAAGGCTTAGGGTGAAGCTGTCTCCTCTAGTCAGGATTTGCATTTGTTTCTGTCAGATCCCCAGAGGCATAAACAGTCCAGGACCACTTTAAACTAAATTTTAAATTAGCTTGAGGTTTTCTGTACTACCCTGTTGATATGAGTTAAGGCTAAAAATCTATGCAAGAGCTCACTGGTGGTTACCATTTTTAAGAGATAGGTTTTTCTTATTCTATTTTTCTCTCTCTACTTTGCTCAGCATGAAATCCCACCCTCCTCAAGTTCCCTGTGTATGGGTTATGGTTAGGAAGGTGCATTTACTTACTTCAGAGTTTCAGTTTAATATGCTTATTTTCTACTTGGTTTCTCAGGTCAGGTGGAGTGTGGCCTTTGACTTATATTCTCCACACCCCTTGATATCATCTAAATTGCAGCTCCATCTTACCTGGATCAGCAGATGTCCTCAGAGTTCTCAAGCTTATCCACCTCATAAGTGATTTTTTCCCCCTGCAGTGTTGTTGCTGTTTTAATTTCTACATCTAGTAATGTATAAGATATTTATATAACATTACTTACTTCATTATAGCTTTTCTTTATTTTTCCACTTCTCTTTTGTCTCAGTAGTTAGTTGTTTTTAAGTCATGTTTCTTTATATACTTATAGAATCTAATGATTTTTGTGGTTTTATTGGCTATTACTTCCTGGTATAAATCTTTTATGAAAATGATTTTATCTCTATTATTAATCACTATACTTATATCTTTCCTTGTTTTCAGAATCTTTGTATTGGTCCATTGTGATCTGATTTATTTTCCAAAATTTTAATAGTCATTTAAAAAACTTAGATAACAATAAACATTTAAATGGTGAATTCCATTGAAAAGCATTAGCCAAGGAAATGAATGTAAGCATCTACTATACAATAAAAGATAAAGTAGTTGAACTGAAGCATTCAAACATGCAAACAATTTTTATTTTTAACCTAAACATCAGGAAGAAGCTACTTAAGCCTTAGCCCTTTATTTGTACACAAGCATTTTTTTTTTGTTTGTTTTTAAAAATTTATTTATTTAATTTATTTATTTGGCTGCGTTGGGTCTTCCTTGCTCTGTGCAGGCTCTCTCTCATTGTGGCGAGTGGGGGCCACTCCTTGCTGCAGTGCATGGGCTTCTCATTGCGGTGGACTCTCCTGTTGCAGAGCACGGGCTCTAGGCACGTGGGCTTCAGTAGTTGTGGCACGCAGGCTCAGTAGTTGTGGTGCAAGGACCCAGCTGCTCCGAGGCATGTGGGATCTTCCTGAGCAGCCAACCACTTCCCAACCACTGTGCCACCAGGGAAGTCCCTGTACACAAGCATTTTAAACAGCATATATAAACGTGAGAAGTCATTTGGATCAAAAAAGATGTCAGAAGTGAAAATTCCTAAGGCAAGCCTTAGGAATGTGGATGGTTAGATGTCTTCTGCCCCTCTAATTAATTCTTATTTGTTAAAAGAAGTAGAGAAATGTGTATAAATGAGAAAGATTAAAGCAAAATAGAGACGTGGATATACCTGTTGATACCACTTTAAAAAGAATAAATTCCTTCTGAAAGTACTTGTGAATATCCAGTCAGTAGAAAAATGCATTCAGAAAACATTTATTGAACTTACAATGTGTTCGACACTGTGTTAGAACTTGGGGTGCAAAGTTTTTATTCTTGAGAAGCTCAGAGTCTCATTGGGGGCTGATAAGCACAAACATTAAATAAATACTTATACCATTTATCTTATATCTTGGGATGTACAGAAGAAAATGAATCATCTGTATATACACAAGGAAGTCAGTCACAAAGATAACATTTGTGTGAAATATTTTGCCCTTTTTGTTTCCTGTGGAACCCAGAAGCCATCAGGATTCCTGAAATTATAAGCCAGAACTCAGATATTCCAATAATTGCACATCAAGTGCCTACTAGTAGCTAAGCACCTGCTACACACTAGCATACAAAAATCTGGAAGGTAATAAAAATGGTGCAAATGGGTTCCCCATTTCTTTTCCAAGAAAAACCTCCTAATGGGCTGCTGATGAGCTAATCAGGTCAAGTGTTCTCTGAGTTGCCCTCTTTATACAGAGTCAGCAAGCATAACATTTTGTTAACCTATTGACACAGAAGAAATTTGTTTTCCATCTGACCTTTTACAGTAACTACTCAAAATTACTTTCTCTTCAGCTAACAAAGTTAATGAATAAATTATCCAAGTTTAACACTCAGACAGTAATGTTTAAAATTTTTGTTGTTACTCCTGATCATTTTGTTTTCTCTTTCAGCTATTACTTCTTTCCTTAGGAAAAAATATAATTTTTACTGAGAATTTGCATTTTTGTTTTAGAGATTAATACTCTTGAACTATTTGGAACCAGTTATTTTGCAGATATTACATTCATATATGTTGAAATGGTCACATGGTAATTTTTTAATGCATAGAAATTCTATTCATTAAAAATTTGTAACCATTTGTGTAAGATAGAGTGAAAGTTTAACTTTGGGCTACATATGAACAAAGGGTTTCCTATGGAAATAGTTATTAAAACAAAAATATAGAGGGTATTTTAAACCTGGGAATAAACTCTTTTCCAAAATGGAAAAGCAAATTGTGGGTCCTTGCTACATTCTTTATTAAATCTTGATTCTAAGAATCTCTACTCACTAAAATTTTGTTAAATATATTCTTTCAAATTACTAAAAATTTCTTCAAAATACTAGCACTTTATTTCAAATTATCCTGAAGTCCAGCCTTTTATCTGTTTCAAATTGATCTTTCCCTAAATAGGCCCAAATTGGAAGTTTACTCTAGTAAATAAGTTTTTAATCATTTGCTATATTTATTACAGCTTCAAAGGTGGTCATCCAATTCAATCCCTAAGGTAAGCCTTCTTTCACTCTTGAGTGGTTGGACCAATTTTAAGTACTTCTTAGAGAATGAGATATATATATTTCCTCTGCAGACTATCCTAACATTTACTATTCTAAGAATATTATTTAAGTATTATTAAATCCATTCACCTCTCCAGTTTTCAGAGAGGAAATCGAGCTTGCTCACATTACATTTATCATGAATATGCTACAGGCTATTAACATCGTTTTCCACAAATGTAAGCAGATAGTATTATTATTTTACACTTGTTAGAAAAGTTCTATAGACTCGAAAGAACCAAGAGCATTTTAGATTGTCATCAGCAAGTGGCCATTGTTCCTTTTGGAAGATGTTCCTGGTCACTGAAAAGTGTATTGTTTTAACCACAGCTCATTAAACTGGGTTCAGAGACCCACAAATTATACCACCAGCAGCATTTCTTTCAGTTGAATATGTTAAGTGTGTTTTTATTCTCTATATGTTTAACTACCTTGTACAGCGTTATAATGAAATAAGTTAAAAATCATTAAATGTTCTTTTAATAGAGAAGTAACGCATTTGAAGCAGACAGTAATGCTTAAATAATAACAATTTTTGTTATTAAATACGCTTATAAAATACTTCTCCTAAGATTTAAGTTAATTTGGGGGCATGTTGAGTGAAGTCTCCGTTATTTTAATTATTTATAGACTGAAGTACCAGACGGTCATAATATCTCTTTGTTTCTTTTAAAGCAGAAAAACATAGGCCTTGCATGGAAATTCTTAAGAAATGTCAAAGAGCTAGTCCTGTTGGAAAGGTTAGTAGTTATAGAAAAATATTTCAAAAGCATGAATGCAGCAGTTTTAAACATGGTTTAGTGCCCAGAATAACTTGTTGGTTTTGTTTTTCATTTTTAACATAAATATCAACTGCCACTGTATAATTGAGTCACAAACACATTTTGAATTCAGGAATTTTTATACTGAAATATTTCCCTGTGAACAAATCCCATGTCACCAAACAAAGATTTTGTTACTGTTTGTGTGTTTTAAAAGAGAGAAAGCCTTGTATTACATAATACTCCGTCGGGTATTTTATGTATCTATGTACTTTCTTATTCCACCCCCCTAGTCATTTTTGTGTTCCTCAGAATATCTAGGACAGCATTTTTGCATGCTTGCATATACATAAGAATATAGCATAGTGGTTAAAAACTTGGATTCTGCAGCCAGACTTCCTGGGTTCAAGTCTTGTTCTATAATTTTTAGCTCTATAACCTTCGCAATTCACTCAAACCTGTTGTGCTTCAGTTTTCTCATCTATAAACTGGGAGTTGCATTAAGTGTTTGTGGGTTGAATGAATTAACACATGTAAATCACTTAAAATAGTAGCTGGCACATAGCAAATTCTTAGTAAATGTTAGCTATTATTTTTTAACAAGTATTTATCAAGCACTTATTACATTGATACTGTGCTAGAAATTCTGGGGATGCCACAACAAACAAGATAGTCATATTTACTCTTCTTATAGAATTTACAGTTTAGTGGAAGATTCAGTCAAATACACAGGTTTTTATAATACAGTACAAAAACTACTATGGTGGGGTGGGGTAGGGTGCCACAGTTGCCTAATGGGAGACCCCTTACCCAGACTAAGGAGATGAGGAAAGTTTTTCTGGACTAAGTGACGTCTAAGCCAAGATCTGAAGGATGGGTATGGGTTTGCCATGTGCTAGTGGACAGGGTGGAGGAATAGAGTTCCAAGTAGGCCTATTATGAGAAATTTCTTCAGGGGAGAGAACATGGCACATTTAAGGGCTTAAGAAGGCTTGGTCAAATGTACTATACAGGTCAGGGCAGGGGTAGTGGGTGGTGCACAAGGCCACTTTATTCTGAGAAGAACAAGGAGTCACTGAAGAGACAGAAGAGGAGGGTGTCATGTTCAGATTTTAGTTTCTTAAAGATCCCTCTAATTCCAGTGTAGATCGTGTATTAGAGTGAATTAAAAGTGGATACAGGGAGGTCAGTTAAAATGCCAGTAGAGCATGCAGGAGAGAGATGTTGGAGGCTTGGAACTAGAGTGGTAATAGTGAAAATAAAGAGAACTTGAGAGATCTGAGAGACATTTATGGGGAGAGAATCAGGAGGTTGTAGTAATAGTAGGGCGCTGGATGTGGAGCAAACAGGAGAAAGAAGACCTAAAGATGGACTCTCAGGTTTCTTGCTTGAATGCGTGAATGGTACCATTCGCTAAGACAGGAAACACTCACTGCAGTGGATGGACAATGGTTGTTGTTGCCACTCAGCATATATTCTTGGTAATTATGTCCCAATTTTCAACCGGGAGTAGGCCCCTCCTCAATTTCAATCCATGTGTTCCTAGATGGAATTGACTTTACCTCCATTTCCAGGAGTGGAGCACATGATCCAGGCAGAGCCAATCAGTGTATCCCATTCTTCTAGACACATTTCAAGATACATTACAGCAACTCAGCTGTTAACAGTCAGCATGAATCTCAGAGCTTTTGTGGGACCTATTGAAAAAGACATAGACATGGAAATTCGCAGAGCTACTGTAGTTATCTTGAACCCGCTAAAGGTATGTCTATCTGAGAATGGAGCCAACACAATGTAAGGCAAAGCCCACAGAGGGAAGCAAAATCCTGATGATATCCTTTAAGTACCGAATCCAGCCATTCCTGAAGCTATCCTATCCCTTGGACTTTTTCATTTATGGGCAACTAGTATGTTGTCTTTGGGCTTAAGCCAGAGGGGTTGGGTTTTTTTTTTTAATATATATTCAAAAACTGATAAAGATAAGAAACCATATATGAAATAACTAGTTGAGGGGAAAGATGCTGAGTTTAGTCTTGGTTATGTTGAGTTGGAGGTGTTTGTGAGACATTGTAGTAGAGTGGAGATGTCCAGTAGGAAAGATGTTTAGGAAGTTAGTGACACCTGATAGAGTCTTTGGTAAAGATTTTTAGAAGGCCATGTGGTAATTCATACAAAAGAAATCTCAAAAAAAGTGGTCACATTAGTTGACTTTCTAGTAGAACCAGCTAGACCCAAAGAGTTTGAAGGAGATAATTCTTCAGTTTCAGTTTCTTTAATGATTATTGATCTATTCAGGGTTTATACTTCTGTGATATTCTGATATAATAAGAAATATATATTTAGTCTTCACCTTTGGTTCCTGGCACAGAGCTCCTAAAACCTTTGTAATTTCCTAAGTGAGGGGGGTGCTAGGAGCATCTTTTGTTCTAATATTTGGTCTTTGACCCGATTCCTGACATAGAGCTCCTAAATCCCTTGGAATTTCCTAGATAATAAGACAACCTTTTGTTCTAACAAGGCAACTCTTAGAGGCTTCTGGATGAGGGCCATTCACCAGAAAGACCAAGCCATGATTAGAAGCTTGGAACTCTTAGTTTCACCTCTCATCCTCTGGGGAGGGGAATGAAGCTAGAGACTGAGTTAATTATTGATCATGCCTATGGGATGAAGCCTTTGCAAACATCTCTAAAGTAGGGGGTTTGGAGAGCTTCTAGTTTTGTGAACAAGAACACATAGAGGTTCTGGGAGGGTGGTGTGCCCAAAGAAGGCACAGAAACTCCATACCCATTCTCATATGCCTTGCCTTATGTACCTCTTCATCTGGCTATTCATCTGTATCCTTTATCATATCCTTTATAATAAATTGGTAAATGTAAGTAAGTATTTCTGTGAGTTATGTGAGCTGTCATAGTAAATTATAGAAGGAAGGTGTCATGGGAATTCCTCATTTGTAGTCAAGTCTGCCGGAAGTATGGGTAACCTGGGAACGTAGTACTTGAGACTGGTATGTGAAGTGGAAAGCAGTCTCGTGAGACTGAGGCCTTAACCTATGGGATCTGATGCTAACTCAAGGTAGACAATGTCAGAATTGAGTTGAATTGCAGAATACCCAGTTAGTATTCATCAGAAAACTGAACTGAATTATTGTGGGAGAAAAACCTAAACATTTGGTCACAGAGGTGTTGAAAATGTTGTGTGTGTGTGCTTTTCCTTTTCAACTTCTAGATCCAACATTTACAATGTCCATTTTGTCTCCAATTTACCAGTTGTGGTAAACTGAATAATTGGCTTCCCCAAAGATGTCCATATTCTAATTCCTGGAACCTGTGAATGTTAAACTCATATGGCAAAAGGCACTTTGACGATGTGATTAAGTTAAGGATGTTGAGATGGGGAGATTATCCTGGATTATCCAGGTGGGTCCAATGTAATCATACAGGTCCTCACAAGAGAGAAGGCCATGTGATGATGGAAACAGATTGAGATGATGCACTTGGAAGATGGAGAAAGGGGCCACAAACTATGGGACACAGGTAGCCTCTAAAAGCTAGAAAAGGCAAGGAAAAAGATTCTCTCTTAAGGCCTCCAGAAAGAACAAGGCCCTACCAACACCTTTACCCTGTGAAACTGATTTCAGACTTCTGGCCTCAAAAACTATGAGAGAATAAATAAATTTATGTTGTTTTAAGCCATCAGATTTGTTGTGATTTGTTACAGCAGCCATAGGAAACTAATACATCAGTGTAATGTTGTACATAAAGATTTAACAGTTTTATTAAGATATAATTCACTATCATAAAATTCATCCATTAAAAGTGTAAAATTCACAGATATGTACAACCATCACTGCAGTCAATTTTAGAACATTTTTCATTGCCACAAAAAGATGTCTGTGCTCTTTAGCTATCAACTCCCTATTCCTCCATCCCCCATAGCTCTAAGCAACTACTAATCTATTTTCTGTCTATGTAGATTTTCCTGGACATTTTGTATAAACAGAATCACACAACATGTGGTCTTTGTGACTGACAAAATGTTTTCAGGTTTCATCCATGTTATAACGTGTATCAGTACTTCATTTCTTTTTAAAGATGAATATTATTCCATTGTATTGATATACCAATATCAATACATTATACGTCTTCTTTCTAAAGAAGCTGAGAGAAGAAATGAAAGTGTGTGTGTGAGTGTGTGTGTGTGTGTGTGTATGAGAACTCTCATGAGAGAGAACAAGTTATTTATATGTAGTATATTGTATCTATATATGTATATATCTTTTGTAATATTAGCCTTCTTATTTATGATTTCTGGTTTTCATCATTTGTTCATCTGGGGTCATTTTCTTAGCCCAATAGAGCTTTGCTCCCACTTATCTCCTTTGTTCTGTTATTGGCAAATATATTACATTTCCATTATGTTATAGGTTCAACAACACATTGTATACATATTGTTTCATACAATTACTTTTTTAAAATTTATTTTTAATTGAAGTATAGTTGAATTACAGCGTTGTGTTAATTACTGCTGTACAGCAAAGTGACTCAGTTATACATATATGTACACTCTTTTTCATATTCTTTTCCGTTATGGTTTATCACAGGATATTGAATATAGTTCCGTGTGCTATATAGTAGGACCTTGTTGTTTATCCATTCTATATATACCAGTTTGCATCTGCTAGTCCCAAACTCCCAATTCAACCCTCTCCCACCCTCCACCCCCTTGGCAACCACCAGTCTATTCTATATGTCCCGGATTCTGTTTCCATTTCATAGATAGGCTCATTTGTGTCATATTTTAGATTCCACATATAAGTGATATCATATGATATTTGTCTTTCTCTTTCTGACTTACTTCACTTAGTATGGTAATCTCTAGTTGTATCCATGTTGCTACAAATGGCATTAATTCGTCTTTTTATGGGTGAGTAGTATTCCATTGTATATATGTACCACATCTTTATCCATTCATCTGTTGAT